GCAGTTGACCATAGCTTACATTATCACCCAGTGTTACAAACATGGCAGGAACCTCCCGTGATAGGGTGTGGAAGATCTTCTCTGGTTATTGTACCAACAAACTAGATTCTTCTAGGGAAGTACTGAGATAATTGGTCTAAAAATGATCATGAATAAAATAACTGTTTATTATTACCCCCATCAAGCTTTTGATTCTTACCCCTTAGAAACTTTCAGTAATTTCTCCCTAGGATGATTAAAAGTTTCTCTATGTTGATAAAAAAACCCACAATCTTATATTTCATATGTCTTTTCCATCTTATTAAAGTTAATAATTTAATCTCTTAATTATTAGAATAGAATTTAGAGAATGAACATGTGCAATTACTTAATGTATGTATAACAATTGGCTACTTCCTGCTCCTATAAGAAATAGAATTATACAAATTGGGTTATATTTCCCAGGGAACCATAGTAAGAGATATTGAGAACTAAGTCACAACTATTAAACCACTTATGATGAAAACTACATAAAAAATTGTGATATTGGCAAATCATCAAAACATAGAGCAGCTCTGCTTAGAAGTTAACCATTTTATATCCTTGTCCAAATGCCTCCTTGAGGTATATACTGTCAAGAATGCCACTCAGTGATGACAAATGTTTACTATTAATTATATGCTATAGCAGTTTGTACAGTCATTTTCACAAAATACCGTGGGCCGTGAGAAAAATGAACAAATTCTTCTAGAAAGAAGTACAGCCAGAATGATCAGCCGAAGCAAGGAGAGTGAACCGCCTTGGGTCTTGAAGAAGTAATTTCCGGAGAAGCGTATTGTTCTTGGTAAGGAAGTGGGTCAGGGAAAATGGAAGGCTCAGTGAAAAGGAGTGACACAAAATGGCTGCAAGAATGGGCTCAAAGCTCACAGCAACTGTGAGGATGCTGCAGGATGTGTATATATACATTCAAAACCCACACTCATTGCCAACAAGTCAACTTTGTCTCACTGCGACCCTCTGGACAGAGT